CGGGGGCGGCGCTTGCGGGAGCGGCCAGGGAGGGGAGGGAGGGGAACCGTAGTGTTAAAAAAGAAAAGAAAACCAACATGCTTTTGCTAACTACATATGCCTGTCCCTGCCGACATCGGGGCCCGTCCACGTTAGCTAGGCAACACTAAACTGACAGCCGAGCAAACAAACGAGCCCGCTTTCCTCGTCTACCTCCCCGGCCTCTGCTCCTCCTCTGCTCTGCCTCGCTCCCCGCAGAACACCGATGAAACCCTAATCGGCCTCTCCGATGCACGCGTCCGCGCGCTTCTCCTCTTCCTTCGCCTCATCCAGGAAGGGTTGGTAATCTTCCCTCCAAGTTTCCCCCGTTTATTTTGGTCTAATCATGGAGGATTTTAACCTCCTTATCTGTGCTAGAACACCATTACTAGGATAAATGATTGTAATTATATGATATTTCTTAAAGGTGCACAAATGCTGCCCCTGTTACCATGTAATTAGTTTGCCTGTCTTGTGGGTTTTAATTCTGTCATTTTACCCCCATTTTTCAGCCATTGCTGACGTTTCTGACGCCGTTGCACGGTCGTCCTATCGGCCTCTCTGTGGGAAGAAGCATCTGGGTTCTCCCTCTGCTCAGGATCCACCCAAGGTCCAGAAGAGATTAACAAAAGAAGAAAGAAGGGCCAGGGTAGAGGAATTTGTTGAAAAGTAAGTCAAACTCGGCCTCGCCAGCATTTCTAACTGTATTATTGTGATCAGCATGTGTTGCAGTTTTCTTGTGTTGCCTTTGTATATAGCGAATTAGAATCTTGTCTTAATCATTATCTTCTACAAACAAGCTAATCAACCATAATTTGTAATTTTTGTTACATTAAAACCAAGTGCTAGCTTCAAAACAGTCATCATCAAATTTTAAATTTTGAGACATCCGTTTCTGTACACAAAGAAACGACGAGATCCTGGAGAGTTGGTGCAGGAAATTTCGGGAAGATCTCATCCTAGTTTCACATAGGGTGAAAAGAAAGCATCTGCAAAGTTTCAAAGTCTGGATACAACAATTCCTTTAGCTTGTTTCCACTGTATATACCCATCCTGTACATACCCCCCTCATGTGAATGCTGTCACTTATATTTATATAAAATTCGTAGTAGGCTAATTTCCTACCGTTTCCCGGTCAAGAAAAAAAAAACATCCGGCTGTATACTGACTGCCGTACCACATGTAAATGTGCTTCTGGAATGGAGCTAGGTGCTTGATGCAATTCTAGCATTGTATATCTGTGAAGGCACCCAATGGACTTGTTTGAATTTTTAAACCTTACATCCATTATTGATGGCTGGCTCTACTATTCGATACAGTTACAGGGCATCACATGAAGGAAAATTTCCGTCTGCTACATATGTTCGTAAGCAGGTTGGAGGGTCCTACTACGTATCATGGGCATTACTCCAGGAACTGGAGTACAATTCGAGACTGAGGAGTGATGTCAGTGATGCCTCTTTCAACTCAACCAGAGATGCCAGGACCAGCTTCGAGGGCATAAAGGAAGAGACGGTATTTTGTTGCATAAACCCTACTAACTTCTGTCCATTTTGTTCATGTTGTTAGTTATTGCCTTTTTGATCTCTTACTTCTCTAGCAGGGTCTATCTTATAATGTCGTAATGTAAGATCAGATCTCAGAAAGAGATTACAAGGTTTTAACAGTTGGTTTTAGTTGTGCATACTAAAATCATAAGTATCGGTTGAACCTTGATATATGTTTCCAGTGGTATACTATCATAACTGCATTCTTAATAGCTAAACCAGGATGTTTTAGGAATGCAAATGCCCAAACCATGTCAGGTCAGACGCAAAGTGAGAATATGAACACCCTTCTTTGTCTGCTCAGGATCTACCCGAAGTCCACAAGAGGATGACAAAAGAAGAAAGAAGGGCCAGGGTAGAGGAATTTATTGAAAAGTAAGCCAACTCGGCCACAGAATTTCTGTTTGTTATTATTGTGATCGGCACCTGTTACACTTTGTGTCTGTGCTTCCTTTTATCTAGTTTCAATCTTCGGTAAAGTTGTGAGCTACTACCTTCCGTACTATAGAATTACATTATATACTCCCTCCGTGTCAAAATACAAGACGTTTTTGTAGACTACTTTAGCCTAAAAACCGTCTTATATTTTTGTATGGAGGTAGTATTACACAGTAATGTCTTACACCAGAGCCAGCTGATCAACTCTGTTTATCAGATGTAAGTTTCATACCGCTCGAGATATAGTTCTTGATAAACAATGTCATTTTCTTATTTGGCTCTGTGAGTGGTGAGAAAGGTTCAAGCAGCATGTTTAAGCAGGCAGTGAATGCCTCACAAACATGGCTAGGATTGGATTCCAGCAAAACTGCTAGTTCAGCTTCTCAAAATTTGCGAAGTGAGTGATCTGATTTATGGGGTTAAGCTACTCAATCAGATTTTGTCATTGTTCTCGGATGAAAACCAAGTTTTAGCTTCAAAAGAACCTCGCTAAATTTAAATTCTGGAAGTACTACCAGTTTTATACCAATTCTCGTTGTTACCAGCTGGATATAGTCACATATAATTGTGTTTCACCCGATGAGGTGTTAAGGACTCGTTTGTGCTTCTAAATCTTACATCCATTGCTTATGCCTGCCTCTGTTATTGAACACAGTTTCAGGGCTTCACATGAAGGAAAATTTCCACATGCAACACATGTTCGTCAGCAGGTTGGAGGGTCCTACTATACAGTGCTGGCATTACTCCAGGAATTGGAGTATAATTCAAGACTCAAGAATGATGTAAGAAATGCCTCTTTCAGCTCAGAAAACTTCAAGGAAAAATACGGGCTCCACAATATCGATCTCTCTCCAAGAGTTGCTACTACCAACTTTCAGGGTGTAAAGGAAGAAACGGTAGTATCTTATTACAGATAACCTACTTTCACTCTTCATGCTTTTCTTTTTGATTTTTCATCATTAAACATCGTCGCTGTGCATGCTTAAATATCCGTATATCTCCAATTATGTTTTTGCTCCTAAACAATAACAATACTAATAATAATCATCTACTTTTGCAGGCTAAAACCTCGGAACCTCTGGATCTAAATACTAAGCCACAACTTCCAGAATGCCATGGTAAAGCTGGAGCTGCCAAGCCAAACTTATCCCCAACAACTTGTTTGGAGGATAAAAGTGAGCCAATGGCATCAGGTCAAACTGAAAACAACAATGTGGTTAAGGCACAAAACCTCAAGAGGTACTGCTTGCATTCCCTCACGCAAGATCAACAACTGATTTACAAATGAGCGCATGGTAACGGGGTAGCTAATTTTGACTCTGCAAATTAAGCAGCATGAGCACCTAAAGATGACTATTTGAGACAATCCCTGCATTATTCTTAAACTGCATCAAACAAATCAAGAAATATGAGTTTATCTGTAGCACATGTATAAAGATAGCTTACATAGTCCTCTCCACCATCATTGATTCACACATTTAAACACTAAGATTGCATGTGATGTTATTTTGGTTGCTACGGTCTTATGTTCCTCACAGCTTTTATTGCTCCATAATGCAGCCCTAAGCATGCGCATGAAGCATCGAAGGGGGCAAATCTGTGGGGCAGCCTGAAATCCTTTGCTGGTGGACTCAGGATCTTTTGGAACAGTCTGTAAATTCATATGGTCTGGCTTGCTAGATGTGATTACATATAGGATTCACATTGTTTTATTATTCTTTTCATGACCTGAAACACAATTGTACAGTACTCCAGGAGGACCATTCCTTCCATTTTTCAGATGATACTCCTGTCAGTTCTACAAGTCACAGTAGAAGTTGGAGTACTCTGTTTATCGACCCCTTCATCCAGTATGCCTGTGTCAAGATTAAATAGATTTTTCCTTGATGTTTTACAGACTTGATTGCTCATGTTGTTTTACATTCATGTCTGGATGCTCTGCTACCCACATATTGTGTACATTGGGTTCAGAATGACGCATATCAGAGTGAGCTTATTTCATTTCAGTCTGTATGTAGTCCATATTGAAATATCCAAAACATCTTATATTTGTGAACCAAGGGAGTACTTAGAATCATTTCATAGACAATCTGACAGCACCATTGCCAAACATATCCTGGTTGCACAAATGCACAACTCGCACCCAATATAGGGATATATATAAACTTAGTTCAGTCTTATATAATCCATGGATAAAAACCAATAAAAGAATAAACAACGCAAATACAGTTAACAATTATCGATTTATATAAACTCACTGCTACCATTCTCTCAACAACTTCCTTGTTATAGTCAGGTGGTAGACAGGTCCGAGACACTGCCAGAAGCTACAATCCTAGTAGAAGGTAGATTTACAAAACTTGCAGTCGACTTATCCAGGACAACCCTCTCTTCAACTGTTGACAAAACTCACGCCAAGCTTCTATCATGGAAGATGATAAGTATCCAACCACTAACATACTTCAAGATGATGATGGGGTACCATGTTCAAAGTCAGAATCATCGACCATCCTTTCTAACGACTCGATATCACCGGCTTCAGAAAGGGTACGACTACGAAGGCTGTCTGCATCCTCGCTGCTCAGATGAAAACAGGACAGGAAACAACGGTTATGACAGTAGTATTAGATGCACCAGTTGTGGTATAAAACTTGTGATGATAATCCACAACAAAGATTTAGCCATACTCTGTAACTCCAAAGATTTCTTTGACAACAAGCGAGCCGTCCCGAGAACAGAACTCTGGCAGCTGGATAATTCACAGATATTCAGTTATAATGGAGGAACGGGGAAGTAAGGAGCTGAATACATTATAATACAACATCATGACATCTAAAATATTTCAACTCTGTTTTGGAGTCCAGAAAATTCTCAGCTGCAAGAGTCAATAAGAACAGATGCCAGCAGCTTACCTCTGATAAGTACATGATTTTTCCAAACAATGTTTGCACAGCAAGCTTCCGCTTAAAACCTTGCTCTGTAAACCCAGATAAGTCCATAACTATTGGACCTGCGATATCATAAAACACAAAATATCCTCAGCACTCTAGCAGTGTGCAAGCTAAGTTGTGAATCAAACAAAATTATCACTCCTACAAAAACAAGCAATACATAATATAAAGAGGTTTTTAGCTATTGGTGAACAGGTCAATTCTCCAATCCAGGCAGAAGCACTGGCCCTTCAAATAGCTGCTGAAATTGCCACAAAGTTTACAACAGTTGGCATCACTTTCATGACGGATAATCAGGTCCTTGCTCAGGCTGTTGCTTCCAGAGATCTTCAAAATAATCCAGGGCATTGGGATATAAAGAGGTTTTTAGCAGCCTTCTTCTCTACCACAAATTGCATACAATCGCAAGTTCTATATATCTGCAGGAAGCTCAATGTAGGGCTCATAGCTGTGCAGCAAAAGCCTACTGTTCACAGTTGGATAGTAACACTGGCCCTTATATGGCTTGCTATAATAGTGCTTATCTAGATGATCATTGTCCTATGCTTTTCAAGTTAGGAAACCTTGCAATAAAGCAATGTAATCTTGCTGGTGTAATTTGTGCTTGAGATCAATATAAAAGGCACCTCAGGTGCCACCACTTTGTCCCCAAAAAAAAAATGAAGCATTCAAAACAGTGCTTTGATTTTGACATGATCTTAAGATTTTCATACAACAACAACAAAGCCTTTAGTCCCAAACAAGTTGGGGTAGGATAGAGCTGAAACCCATAAGGTCTCGCAACCAACTCATGGTTCTGGCACATGGATAGCAAGCTTCCACGCACCCTCTCCATGGCTAGTTCTTTAGTGATACTCCAGTCCTTCAGATCTCTCTTTACTGACTCTTCCCATGTCAAGTTCGGTCTACCCCGACCTCTCTTGACATTATCAGCACGCTTTAGCCGTCCGCTATGCACTGGAGCTTCTGGAGGCCTGCGCTGAATATGCCCAAACCATGTCAGACAATGTTGGACAAGCTTCTCTTGAATCGGTGCTACCCCAACTCTATCTCGTATATCATCATTCCGGACCCGGTGCTTCCTTGTGTGGCCTCACATCCATCTTAACATGCACATGTCCGCCACATCGAACTGTTGAACATGTCGCCTTTTAGTCGGCCAACACTCAGCGCCATCCTATGGAACCTACCTTTTAGCTTTTGTGGCACTCTGTTGTCACATCTTCACCGATATCCCCATCCTTCTGCAGCATTGACCCCAAATATTGAAAGGTGTCCTTCTGAGGCACCACCTGCCCATCAAGGCTAACCTCCTCCTCGTGCCTAGTAGTACTGAAACTGCACCTCATGTACTCGGTTAGTTCTACTGAGTCTAAAACCTTTTCGATTCCAAGGTTTGTCTCCATAGCTCCAACTTCCTATTAACCCCCGTCCGACTATCATTGACTAGCACCACATCATCCGCAAAGAGCATACACCATGGAATATCTCTTTGTATATCCCTTGTGACCTCATCCAGCAAAAAGATAAGGGCTCAAAGCTGACCATTGCTGCAGTCCTATTTTAATTGGAAAGTCATCAGTGTTGCCATCACTTGTTCGAACAGTTGTCACAACATTATCGTACATGTCCTTGATGAGGGTAATGTACTTTGCTGGGACTTTGTGTTTCTCCAAGGCCCACCACATGACATCTTAAGATTTTCATGCTCAACAAAAATGGCAACGTATTGCTATTTATGTCTGAATATTGCTACAGCACACAGATGTACATAAAATTGATGTTTGACGACCCAAGTTAAAAAAAAGAGAGCAGATGTTTAGCAACTCCCACACTGCAGACATCATTTTCAGGCTAAGAAGCTAAAATAACTGAAGAATGTGTATAAAGCTAACGCGATGAGGGGATTTGACAACAATGGAAGAAAAAGACAAATGTCAGTATTATATGCTCAGTAAGCGTTGGAAAGTAATCTTCTAAAAGTTTGCAGCTAATCAAAGTACAAAACCAGTAAATTGTGGGACACATGATCAGTACCAAGATCTACAGAGGATTTCACCAGGGAGATGCACAAATTTCATAGGAACGCAAGAGAAGACAAAATCACTTCCGTGTTTTTGAATTGAGCAGCCAGGGTCTTGAAGGTAAATACTATGTGTTATCTAAGAGTACCAGAACCAGAAGAATAAAAATACCTTTTTCCCGAACAATTCGTCTTGATATCTCATTCAGAATTTCAGCAACTTCATTATCTTCTAACATCGATGCTTTCCTAAGATGTATGAGATCCACAACCACATCAGGATTGAATTGTTTTTCATTCAGTGTGTATCGGATGTACTTTCTTACTACATCATCCATGTCAAATCCTGTCTGAATACATGGGAAAAAAAGTTAAAAGTGTATATGCAGGCCTCACTATAGCCAGATTGCTTTGCAGCCAACAACATAATAAGAAAACCATTCCTCAAACCGCAGTAAAAATGGCCAAATGGGTGCATTGGTGCAAAGCATTACAGTTTGATATGTCAAAATCTATTCTGACCAGCGAAATTTCTGGTTTAGATCTTTGCAAGGAGATAGTCTTTAGTCTGAATATTTTTACCACAAGTCATCGGTGTAACTTAATCTTCCAGAATAAGATATCTGAGTAACACTGTTCAAAGTAGATTCATTTGTTGAGAAAATAAAGCAGATATGTGGTAACAGCAGTCCAGTATAAGTTCAGATTCTCAGGAATAATGGTTGAATCAAGGGCACACCTTTTGCATTAGTTCTTGAAGAGCTGGAAAATCCACTGCTTCCCTGCCCTTCTGAAACAACTCGTCTAGTGACTTCAACAAGAATATATTCTTGGTCACCTGCAAAGAAATGGAGTCACCATGAAATGCCAAAAAAAATATATCTGGATAATGGTTATGACTTATGAGAGCAATAGAATTTATAGTTCCATCAAGAATATCAGCAAGAAAAAGAGAAAATAAAGCGTAAAGATGAGCCTAGCTTGTGAATTGTGATCAAACAGAACATAAGTTTAGCTAGTGATCAACAAAAAGGCTTGTGATCAACAGAAACTTCATTCCTAATTCTTTCTTACTTAAAAGTAACATCTAACTGAAACAAACTGAATTATTTAGTATGGTCATGACTCAGTATGATATTTTATGAATAGAGATGAAATTGCAACATAAAATCCCCCACTGAAAAAAAAGAGTCAATGAACGACGTTAGCACCCAACGACTATTGGGGTCTGCATTGAACAAACGAACCGCTGCTCCACACAATGTGCCTACATTTTGGCATGGCTAAAACTCTATTTATATATAAGAGAAATATGCCATCACTTTATTATCTACCGCCACAGAAAACACGAAGCACAAGCAACATGTCCGATCTTAGAGAGGAACTACCAAAGTGTAACTAAACTGCTAATCGTATCACTCCGCAGTCCTCAAAGGCTTACCCTCTTCTTCTTCTGAGTGCGCGGGGAGGTGAACCTGCGGAAGGTGCGGACGGCGGCGAGGGCGAAGGAGACGCCGACGTAGGCGAGCGGCACGGCGAGGAGCCACGGCACGGGGCTGGAGCCGACGCGCGGGCCGGGGATGGCCTGCGTAACGGTGCCGGTGAACTCCACGAGGTCCAGCGCCTTGTCCTGGATCCACGGCAGCTCCTCCTCGACCTCCACCTCCTCATCCGCCTCTCGCTTCGGGGCAGCGCTGGAGTTATTGGTGCGCTTGGCTCGGGCGACGAGGAGGGGCGTCGACCGCCGGGGGGCCGTGCGGGTGGGGGCGAGCAGGGTGAGGGGGCAGCGCCGGACGCGGCCGCCGGCGATGGGGACGGAGAGCGGATGGAAGAGGGTGGTGGTGGTCGCCATGGAGACGGAGGTGGAGGGGCTAGGGCTTATCGCGGCGGAGGTGGAGTTGGGTGGGACTCCTCCGGGGTGCGGAGAAGAGAGAGACCAAGCCAGAGTAGGCAGTAGCTGAACAAAAAAAACCTGTGACGGGTTGGGAGAGAGGAAGAGCAGTAAAAGGGGCCGAAAGCCCACCAAGACAGCATGCTTTTTGGGCTGTATCCCTGGCGCCAGCTCTCAAAAGAAAAAGGAAAAAGCTCTGCCTGGCTACGGTTCTTCAGCTATGCCTGCCCCCCGGAAGGAAAATCGTTGAGCCCTTCCCCAAAAGCTCTTGCAAAAACTTAAGACAATCTTCTTTTTTTCACAATAATTAAGACTATGTCCACCAAAGTGGACATGTCGTTTAATGACACTATTATCATTAGTAAATTCAGAGTTAAGAGACAGATGGCAACACTCGCAACAAGGTCAAATAACTGTCACTGCACAGTTAAGAACGCTTGGATTAACAAGGTCCATGGATTCCGTATAATGGGCTGACAGCAATCATGGAATCTACAGTAGTTCCTTTGGACATCAAACCAGCTCGTCTAATCCGTTCAGAAACTGAAGTCTCTAGAATACAAGTTTTCCAGTTTCATAAAAACGTGTAATGTTCTCCAAAAAAAAAAAAGTGGAAATATTTCTACCACACAAACTGTGCTTATTTCTGCCGAAGAATCCTGGATGCTTAATCTTCTTGCCTATAACGGAAGAATTTATAGGAGAAACAAGGTGAAGAGTGCGAATCAGGGTAATCTCTGTATCAGGCTGTCAGCTTAATACCACAGGATCTCAAAGCTTTGGTTTGGATTTGGATTCTCTAGACCATGCTGGAGCTCTAACTTGCAGGTTGGACTTCTCAGCCTCCTCGTCCTTCTCCTCCTCTTCCAATATCTCCTTAGAAAATGCCGCTGGATTCTCCTTGATGCAGTTCTGCAGCGCGATGAAGGGCTGCACACAATCTGATCCCTGGCAAGGCAAAGGAAGTAAGCTTAGTATAAGTCAATATTCAGGAAGAAGTAGACATGAACCAGACAGTCAATAGCATTTAACAGCATACAGGCAGAAGAGGTTTGTATGTGGCAGTGACTCAAACATTATGAAATATTACAAAGAGTGTAAAAACACACATTTAAAACAGGAACCAGAAGAATTTGTGTCCAGCCAAGTTATAGTATCTGCATTTCTTAACTCTTTTAACTTTAAAGAGGAAAGAGGGCAAATTCTCAGGGTTTTATTTTGTGTTGAAGTAACAAGTAACCTAAATAAGTGGTTATGATCAAATTGAATTATAATTGGCTAGCAATAACATTGTAGTATAACCTAATAGACAATGACTGCTGTACATCTACTTCCACTTGGATTGTAAGAAAACGCGACACAGAACAACAGATCTTTATTGTGCTCCATCAGATCTACTATAATTACGTGGGTGCCTTTTTAGCTTATACGCCCTCCGTCCCTAAATATAAGTCTTTTTAGAGATTTCAATATGGGCAACATACAGAGCAAAATGAGTGAATCTACACTCTAAAATATGCCTATATACATCCGTATGTAGTTCGTATTGAAATCTCTAAAAGGGCTTATATTTAGAAACGGAGGGAGTACAAACTAGGCACATTTGCAGTTTATACAAACTAGACACATTTGCTACTGCACACTGCAGCAACAGAATTCGCCTGAAACTAATATCAGTTGAAATAATAAGGAAAGAACAAAAATGCTGACAATAAAAAAAAGGGGTACACTACTCATTATAAAGGCTGTCCGTTAGAAAAGGTATCGATTAACTGGATATCTGCCAAACACCAATCCTAATACCCAACTTCCTTGAGTGCTTACCTAAAATAACTCTCTTGGGTATTTACCTAAAAAACGTTCCTGGGCATATTAAGTTAAGTTTAGAACAAAGGGGCTCTTTGTTATGATTATCCTGGGAAATTTTAAGTTAAGTTAACTTAGTAACATGAAATAAAAATACAACCTTCTCTACTTCTGTGCTCCTCAGGAAGCAGGAAAATGCATCAACAAATCCACTGCCACAAGGTCCAGTTTTCAAATCAGCCACGCACGGACAATCCAGAGCTTTCTGTACCTTAACGTCAATTGACTGCATAACCAGAAAATTGTTTCAATGATCTCCCAAGCACCATGAAGAGTAGAATACTGATATATAGGTATCTATCAATCATCCAGGAGCAAAATAAAATGTCTTACCTCATCATCCTCACTAAACGACATAGCCTCTGTACATTACAAAAATTCAATATCAGTAATCAGAACACTAATGCTGGCACAGATTAATGAGCCGACAAAAGATGCAACATACCCCATGCAAAGCGCACGGGTTAAAAAAACATCACATAACTAATATCACTCTAGATCGTAGCCTAGAAATGTTGTAATCCTGCTATTATTAATGAATGAAAACTCCTTTTGATACCAAAAAAGTAATACTAAGGGCAGTCTAGATTAGGGAACCTCCAATATAGCAGTGCATGCCATACAAATTTGAAAGAGGGCACGAACTTTGTGCACATTGGGGTATTTTTTTGGGAGATGTAGGAACTGGAATCTAGTCGTTTTGGCAAGATATTAGCAGGTTGAAGCTTGGTAGCTCCTCAGGACAGGGGTATCATCAACTAGCGCATACCTATATGGCACTAGCATTAAAGCCTACCTCGATTTCGGCATGGACGCGTAGATGTTGTACAAGGTCTGAACTGCATATAATAACCACATAGTGGAGAATCACAGGGACAATCTCGTCCAGCTAAAACTCACAACTATCCATAATACTAGCTTCCCTGGAGCTGTGCTTCCACCAATGCTCCCCAAAATCCCAGCAACCCGACGGACAACATGTAGGCTGCCGCGACTCGGAGAGAACCACTACTCGAAACGGCCGCGTATCCGCTGGAAAAACGAGAATAAGTGGACACCACCACCGGCGCCTAAGATTCAGAGTTTGGGGTGTACCTGCAGCGAGCTCCTCGAGGGAGGAGGGCGCCGGGGCAGGGGACTGCGCCGGCGCGGGGTCGGCGGCCGGCGGAGAAGGTTTCCCCACCGCCGGGTCGGGCTGGCTCTGTTCTTGGCCCATCGATGGTTGGTTGAGCGGCTAGGAAGAATTCAGGCGGCGGCCACTCTCGTCTCGACGACCGGCGGCGAAGCGAGAGAGCAAAAGAGCGACCGGCGGCCTGAGCAGGAGCGCGGTCAAGTACTCAAGTCGCCCGGCGGCACACCACTTTGGAAGCCAATTGGGACCCGAGTCCGACTCTGACCGTGCTTCCCGTCCGTCCGATCGCGCCAAGATTCGTGTGCAGGTTTGCCCGTGGTTCCATGGGCCGGGCCGGCCTTCGTGAGTGGCCAGCGGCGTTCCAGTGTGTCACCCACGCGACACGACGTCTCCCCTAAACCTCCGCGTCGCCATTTCCACTTCCACCTCCAGCCCGCCGCGATGGCCGGAGGCGGCGGCAAGCCGTTCGGGGACAACGTGTTCGCCGGCCATGCGGCCGCGGGAGTCGCGGCGATCAGCGCCTCCGCGGTCGCCGTCCACCCCCTCGACACCGTCAAGAGCCTCCTCCAGGCGAGCGCCCGGCCCGCTCCCCCTTCCCACCCTCAGATTCTCCCATTTGCCGTGCTGCTCTTCTCTCGTCAGGGTCTGATTTGTTTCCGCGTGTGCAGTTGAGCGCGGCGGGGCAGAAGCAGAAGATGGGGCTCCGCCATGCGGTGGACCGGCTCATGCACGTCTCCGGTCCTGCAGGTGTTTGGTCGCTTGCCTGCTTGCTACTAGACGAGTAGAGATCTTCCTTTGTTTGGTGGTTCTGTTGTGAACTGCGAATAGAGTGCTTAAATCTTCGATCTGCGTTGGTGCCATGCATAATGACTAGTGGAGTTGAGAGGATTTGTGATGTTGCTTGTTGAGTTGCCAGGCTAGAACTGGTAGTGTCTGACTTCTTAGATTGCCATCCAGCTATTAGTAACAGTCCATCATGATCCATGTAGCTTGCTAGCCTGGCAAATATAATAAATCTGCATTGGATAAGATCTTACTGTGATTGTGTCCAACTGTCCATAGTGGTTCTACGCACTGTCTACATTAAGAGCATATCCAGTAGGAGCCTAAAGGCTTGGATTATTTCATCAAATAACTCAGCTTGTACAATTTTTTGTCGTCCAAACATAGATCTAGAAGCTTGCCTTTAATTGCTTCAATGCTTCTTTATACCAAAATACCTGGGCTTGCATAAACATTTCACTTCATTCTATTGCCGTGCCTGCTTCATGTTATCATCCCTGATTGACATACTTTAGAGATTCTAATTCATGTACTCCCTCCGTTCGGAATTACTCGTCCAAAAAATGAATGTATCTAGATGCATTTTAGTTGTAGATACATCCATTTTTATGACAAGTAATTTTGAACGGAGGGAGTATGATGGTATCAAAGGGGGTCATTGTACTCATAACATAGTTCAAAAAAGCGCTAGGCGTTAATTGTGCGTTTTGCCACCGCCTTGCGCTTTACTGACCAAAGCGCATGCTTATGCGCAGTTATGCACAGATTAAGCGTAGTTATGCGCAATGTGTTTTGCCAACGCCTAGAGCCTAGGCGCGCTTAAGCGCTCGCTTAGGCGCGCCTTTTTTAACTATGACTCATAATAATAACTAGCGGAGTTGAGAGGATTACTTTGCTCTGCATTCTAAAGTAACATATTTCTGATGCCCATATGTTACTTTGCTCTGCATAAAAAATATCCTATTAAATCATTGTATGTATTTCAGGTCTTTACAGTGGCATTGGATGGTCAATATTAGGTAAACTGCCTGGTTTGGGAGCACGTTTTGGGACCTATGAGCTTTTAACAGCCTTCTATAAAGGTACATACTTTTTTTTGCGACACAATTCATTGCTTAGTGTAAGCTGCTTGATATCAACTTGTTGGCACCTTCTATTGGCAGTTTAGCACCCATGAGCA